CTATGAATGACGGAATAACTTTATAACAAAGTTAATAAAAAATAAAACAATAAATAAAAATAATGAAACAACTTTTATCAAAAAAAAAAAAAAAAAAAAAAAAAATATAATTGTCCCTCAATAAACAACACAAAACAACGAAATCGACACCATATGCAAAAGGGCTTGTTGATTCATATTATTCCAAACTTCCACCTATCTTTCAATTTAATCTTATTTTTTTTATTACAAAACCAATATAAATAACAACAAATATCATAAATTTAGTCTTCATTGAATTTTAGACAATAATCTATCTAAGCTTATTATTGATTCTCGTTCCTCTCTCTCTCTCTCTCTCTCTCTCTTTCCTTCTCATTTTGTTTCTTTTTTCTTTCCTTATCCACGTCTTTTCCATCAGCGGTTTCGCACCCGCTCGAATACACCGGGTTAACTTCGTCCCGAGAACTCGTTCAAAACCGGTTCCCGCGTCTCACGTCGGACGCAACGACGCGACGCATTTCTTTCAGTGCATCGGCTACTTTCGTTTTCACGACACCTCCGATCGCTTTGACACGAAATGAGCGCGGAATGCACGTACAACGACAACGACGACGACGACAACGACGACGATGACGACGACGACAACGACGACGAAGACTATGGTTGTTCAACCATTGACGATGGTTGCTGGAGAAGAATCTTCGTAAGAAACAACCCAGAATTAGTAGTTTTTCATTTTTATACAATTTTTTTTTACCTGACATTTTCTTATCAATTTTAAATGATTTATTTGTTTTTTTTTTTTATATATTATTTAACTTTACACCGTGATTTCTATTAAATATTCCGAGAAATATAATTATTTATTGTTTTTGTTTTAATTTATTTATTAATTTGTTGGATGATACAATTTGTTTATTAAATACTCGGAAAGAAATATATTTATTTCTATTTTTTTTTTTTCTAAAATTATTTATTATTTATTATTATATTGCAATATAGAATTTTGCAATATTGCAACATAATAATATTAATAATAAATTTGTGCAATATAGCAATGTTGCAATAATAGAATTTCTTTTCGTGTCTACTAGCTATTTAATTAATTATCAATTTAATAACAAATTTATAATTAACAAAATTTAATTATAAATTTAATAATTAATTAACAGTTGATCGATGTCACATTGATGTAATACACTTGAACGTGATATTTTTAAAAGTATACACTGCTATTACACATAAAATTATTAAATACTATCTTTCTAATATAATAAACAATTTTTTTCATTCATAAAATATATTTGTAATACCGTAAAATTACCCATAATACGATCAAAATGATTTATACAGTTAATCCAATTTATTATGAGGGATATTTAATTATAATTTTATTAGAATTATATTGAACGTTTTTGTTATTGAATAATTTGTAAATTTATTGTATAATATATTTATATAGATATATATATAATAATAATAATCAAGATCATATATTACATTAAAAAAAAAAAAAAAAAGATAAATATTCTTTGAAAATATGTATATAAAATTATTAAGTGTGTATTCGTGTATTATAATACATTGGCAGAGTTTGCACGATATTTAAAGAGAAATGATATTAAAAGATAAAACCGGTACGTAACACATATACGACCCACCACGACTAATAAGGGTTTAAATTTATGTCGAAAGGATAATATTATCCAATGTTTGCATTCACCTCGTTGAAGGGTCCTCCACCATAAAAGGTGCAAGTCTCATATCGGTTATAAGCAATGTGAAAGAATTTCGAAGTTCCTTTTATGATCCCTTCATCGTCCTCAAATTACTTTATATGTAGATTTGTATGCTCAAGATCTAAACTCGTAATATCAAAAATACATTTTATTTTATTTTTTCTTTACCCCCTTCTTCTTCTTCCCCTTCTTCCTCTTCTTATTATTATATTGATATATTTTTTTCTCAATTTTTATTTCATTTTTTTTATATCTTTGAATCGTTTGTTTTAATTGCAAGGAACTCGAAGAAAAAGAAACTATGATTTGAAAATATTTTTTTTAAAAGGAAAATTCAAAAATCATTTTATTTATTTTTTAACCCTCTTCTTCCCCTTCTTCTTCTTTTTATTATGATATATTTTTTGTCTCTCTCTCTTTATTTTTTAAATATTTTTATTTTATTTATTTCTTTTGATCGGTCGTTTTAATTGCAAGCAAAAAACAACCATCATTTGATAAATATTCCCTTAAGAGAAAATTCCAAAATCATTTTATTTATTTTTTTACCCCCTTCTTCCCCTTCTTCTTCTTCTTTTTATTATGATATATATTTTGTCTCTCTCTCTCTCTCTCTCTCTTTCTATTTTTTACATATTTTTTTTTTTATTTATTTCTTTTGATCGTTTCTTTTTAATTGCAAGCAAAAACAAACATCATTTGATAAATATTCCCTTAAGTGAAAATTTTTTAAACTATAAGAAAATGATAAGTTTAAAGAAACCATTTTCCTCCCATGTGTCATATATTTTCCTTATGCCCATATAGGCATAGTTGTTGCATTAAAATCCCCGTCGTTAGGTTTATCTTCGTGTACTAAAGCTCGAAGATTATATAGCCTCAACGTTGTTAAATCGTTCAACTTCTATCGATTGGGTGAGAGAAAAAAAAAACAAACCAAGAGAAATAACTAAATTGAAACACAAAATTGAAAATTAAAAAAAAAAATAAACAAAAAAAAAAAAGGATTAAAAATAATCTATCGATCTCGATAGATCGATTTCAATTGAATATTTCACACATTTTAAATGTGCATAACTTGTGTAGTAACTCATACAAAGATAAATGAACAAATGTCATGAGTATAGCAAGAAGAAAGAAAGATTGACGGTCATTGGTCAGTTTAAATTACAATTCAATAAAATAATTAATTATTTTTACTATTGTCAATTAATTAATAATGCAACAACAACAACAAATAAAAAACCGAATGATTTGATGTTAAACGAAGATGGTATGCAATTATAAAACGATACACAATTATGCTAAATTGAAATTGTCCTTAAATGATATTTGCTAATTGTACGAGTAATCTCATTTCGATTCTTGTAATAATTGATTTCGAAAATAATAATAATCGTTTAGTATACCTACACTCATCCTTTTGTCGACATCTTTTACAGAATCATGGATGCAAATGATTCTTAATGACGAGCTCGCGTTAGATCATAAAATCGTTTTGCTTGCGATTCAGTCGTAAAGATTAGTCGACCATAAAATGTGTGTGTTTTTTTTTTTTTTTATTATTCTTTTCGAAGAAGAAGAAGAAGAAGAAGAAGGAGAAGAAGAAGAAGACGAGATTTCTTTTCTCTCTCTCTTTTATTTTTTTTTTTAATTCTCATATCTTTTATATCGTTGTCCTTCGAAAAATTACGAGTCGTTTCGCACCTAACCGATATTAACTCGAATATACAATACTTTTTGGACACCTGGTATAAATGAATAAGATGAGATAAGATGATGATAGAGTAAAGTTTTATTAGGATATCTCAAATCACCTCCTATCACCTCCAATTTTATTCCATGATCTTTGAAGAGACTGAATACACACCTTTTGAACACTTAGTGCAGGGGTCGGCAACCTGCGGCTCGCGAGCCACATGCGGCTCTTTGAATGTAAAACTGCGGCTCTTTTTAGTTTACAAGAGTTTAGAAAATCGTTCTAAATCGATTAACGAGGATTAGGCACAAAAAAACTAACTTTATTATTGGCAAAGAGAAATTTTGTGGCTCTTTGTAAAACTTTGCAAATTTTTCGGCTGTTTCGATTCAAAAGGTTGCCTTAGACCCCTGACCTAGTGTAAATGAAAAAGATGAGATAAGATGATGAATAGAGAATAGTTTTATTATGTCCCCATCTCACCTAGACTCTTATCTTCAATTTTATTGGCTGATGTTGGATGAGAAGATTCCCATTTGTGAGATAATGGATACCAAGCATGGGTGTGCGCGAGTAATTTCAATTAATTCGTGAGGAATAATAATAAGTCGACATTTTGTACCGTGACCTCTCAACGTTCTTCTTGATCTTTCTGATAGTTCATTGTCATCATAACGAACCGTTCAAATCCGAGTAATTTTATCGATAAAAAGTTGATAGGTGAGAATGCTTATTTCCTTCTTCTTCTTCTTCTTCTTCTTCTTCTGCTTCTGCTTCTTCTTCATCTTCTTTTTGTGTGAAGAAATCGTGATCGTGTCAAATCATCTTCGACGAACATTTCTACGAATGAAAATTCGACTTTTTCTATTCGTATAATATTCAATCATTTTGTTGTAATTATTTCAATGAATTATTTCAATTATTTTACAATCTCAAAACAATGTTGTAATTTTAACTTTTTTTTGTAAATCGTTGACACTTTGTTTGTTCATTTTTTGATCCAACCACACATCTTGTTTTATTTATTTAAACGAATTATTTACATTATTTTACAATCTCGTGACGATATTTTGTACTTTTAATTTTTCTAAATTGTTGATGCTTCCTTTGTTCATTTTTTTGATCTAACCATTTTGTTTTTAATTTATTTAACTGAATTATTTCAATTATTTTACAATCTCGTGACGATATTTTTTTACTTGTAATTCTTCTAAATCGTTGACAATTGCTTTGGTTGTTTTTGTTTTTTCTTTTTATATAACCATTTTGTTTTATTCATTTAAACGAATTATTTAAATTATTTTACAATTTCGAGAATATTTTGTACTTTTAATTTTTCTAAATCATTGACACTTTCTTTGGTTTTCTTTTTGATCTAATCCCATTTTATTTTATTTATTCATTTAAACAAATCATTTAAATTACTTTACAATCTCGTGACGATATTTTACTTTTAATTTTTTCTAATTCATTGACACTTTTATTTATTACAATTTCATCTTTGAAACACACAAATGAAAAATTAATACAAAAAAAAATATTAATTTTATTCTTTATTCTCTGTGTGTTGCATCAACAAGGCGTGAGCTTGCAAAGCTGTACAGCTGGACCATTTGCTAGCGGAAATGGCGGTGGTGCATCGAGACAACGTTTGTTGGAACTGTCACATGGATTGGGTGCTCTTAGACATTACAATGATTTAGCCAATCATGTGTTATCATTAAATCAACAAGGTGCCGTCGTTACGAAACTTTTAGGTGAGTTATATTACCATTAATTATTATTTAATCTTTCAAAAAAAAAAAAAAAATAAAGGGGGGGTCTCAATATTGCGTATTTTATACAAAATGAAAAAACAAAAATATATTGAATTATTCAGAAAGTAATTTCATTTTTTTCCCCCTGACACAATTTTCACATTAATCAATGCAAATTGACAAATAACAACACGTACAATTGTTGACAATTAAAATTAATCAAATTGAATTATTTAAACCCCCTTCCCCCATTCAAAAATCTTAAATTTAAACCACGAAACAAAACTTGTCTTCATTTATCACAAAAATAAAACAAAACAACATACTGAACTAATATCCAATACATAGTTCGTTGCAATCATAATGTTCATTAATTGATTATTATAGTTGTCATTATTATCATTAATAATACGTATTTCATCGTTTAATCGAATTTAATCGAAATGAAAAAGTATAAGTTCCATGATGTTTAACACCATGCGTTCTTCAAGGTTGCTAAATCTGATATAAAACTCGGTGAAACTGGATAGGCAAGAAACTCGACAGGATTTGTTGTTGCACGATTCTCAAACGTTTCGTGTGACGTTAAACGCATCATTTCTAAATGCCGATCTAATCGAACATCATTGTGTGTGTGTGTGTGTGTGTGTGTGTGTGTTGGACTCCATGAAAGTTTAGTAAAAAAGGATCGTATGAAATGAAAAGATATTGAAATGAAATGAGAATGTGATACTTGTTTTGTATTTTCTATTTTTTTTTTTTTTTTTCAAATTAAAAACTTCAACAATTTTCACGATTTTACAGCTTTTGTTTGGAAATTTTTGTGAAATTTTTCTTTCCCATTTTAAGTATCTTATTTATAGTTGTAAGTATGATTGGAATAACATTAAAGCTCGTAAAAAGGTTTCTACAGTGCTCATGTTATGGTTCGTTTTCCGGAACACTTTTTGTTGTTGTTGTTGTTGTTGTTGCAATTTTATAGGATGTAAAACTACCCCCTCCCCCTCCCCACTCCCCCTCCCCCCCCTAAAAAATGAAAGAAGGGTAAAGAGAAGAGGGACTAGGGAGAGGGGAGAAAGTATTAACGTGTATTATTGACGGGTATATGAACGTTACGACGATGGTGCAGCTATGCAATGCAGTGCAATGCAATGCAACGAGTATTTCGAACTCGTTAGCCGTCGAAGATTAGTTGGTAATGGTCGTTTCTTTTAAACTACTACTACTACTACTACTACTACTACTATTACTACTATTATTATTGATATATATTTCAGAAGGAATCTTTAAGAATTTTTGGTTGAATAATGTAATAAAAATAATTTGGTTATTTTTGTTGGAATTGTATAATTTAGGGTTGGTATTTGATTGAAAGGAATGATAGAATGAACATTTTTTGTTCTAATTTTATTTCATTGAAGTATTCTAAATTGGTTGTATTTATTATTTAAAAGGTTTTTATCAATTATTTAATTATTTTATAATAATCAATATAATTATATTATTATATGAATAATTTTTATATAATTTAATTCCAATTATTTTATTATTATTATTATTATTATTATATATTATTTTATAAATTAAGTATATAAATAATTTATTTATAATTTTAAATATATTAATTTTAATTAAATTATAACTTAATTATTAATATAATATAATTATATTTATAATATTAAATATATATATAAATATAATATTTTAATATATAATAATAGGAAAAGAGGGGTTCTAAAGAACGGGAAGTTGCTGTTAAAAGAATGATAAAGTAAAGAGAGAATCAAGACTGGTAGCTTGTGAAAGAGAAAGAAGAGAGAAAGAAGAGAGAAAGAAGAGTATAAAGAGAATACGAATAAATACACACATACACACACAAACATACATACATACATACACAAATATACATATATATATATATATATATATATATATATACAATCGATAGAGATAGATGAGTGGTTGTTACAGGTGTGGTCAAATTCATGGAAAAGTTCAAGTAACCATCATCAACATTTCAAATGAAGAAAGAAAGAATTGTAGATGAGAGTAATAAAACACACAGAGAGAGAGAGAGAGAGAGAGAGAGAGAGAAAGATATTCCTATCGAAAAAAGGATAAAAAATAATATATATAAAATAAAAATAAAAAGGAGGAGGTAGTGGAACGCGAGTTGAAGTTGGGTTTTCTGTTTCTGAGCTTGGGCATCTTCTTCTTCTTCTTCTTCTTCTTCTTGTTCTTTGGGTTTCAGCTTCTCGTTCCTCGTTAAGTTTACGAGCCGCTCGTAAAAATACCGTTCGACTTGGGTTCTCTCAAACTCGTCGGTAATGTCTTCATCTTGTGCTGGATACAGACTCCTTAGGCGTCTCGAGGTGAATATAATGTACCATAATCGAGCAACCAATTACTTAACGGAGGCGAACAATTAATCCTGTTTGGATCCACCAGTTCTCGTTGGATTGCTTTCTCTCAATTTCTATAGTATTTTAAAAAGATATATATATATATATACCTGTTTCTTTTAATCTTACATTTTTCTACAAACCCTGTCATCCCCTTCTATCTCCTCCCACTCACCAAAGTTGGAAATTTGATTTGGAAGTTGGAATTGTGATTATTTTCACAGCTATCAACGAAAACTCGTTTCGTTCGTTGGATTTGATAAAAATGTGGTTGTAGTATTGCTTAATTATTATTTTCTTTTTATTATTATTATTATTATTATTTTTTTTTTTTTAATTTTATCAATTAGATTGTCAGAATGTGATCGTTTGAAAAAGGGATCAGTTTTGTTTGTTTTTTTCTTTTTCATTTTTTTTATTTTTTTATTTTGAATGGAAGAGGAGATTGGGGGATAATTAATTGATCAGATTTATACTTTGATTTTTGTTGTTGTAGTTCGAAGCAAGGTTTAGTCCTTTTATTGTCCCGTTTTTTATTTTATTGTTTTTTTTGGTATTCAAGAATTCGTAGTTTTGTAGTTAATCGGATTTGTTGTTTTTCCTTTTTAGTTAGTTGAATTCGTATGGTTGTGGGTTGGATGGGTTGTATCGTTAATTAATTGTGGAACGTTGTAGTAGAAAATTAAAAAAAAATACAATTTTTTTTTCTATGAAATTTTTTTTATTATTATATATAATAATATAGTATATATTATAATAATTTTATTTAATTTTATTAAATTATAGTTTAATTAATTTAATATTTTAATAAATTTATATTTATAGTAATTGTGTTAAATTTATAAATAAAATATAATATATAATTTTAATAAATTAAAATTTTAATAATTTTATTATTATATTATAATTTAATTAATTTAATATTTTAATAAATTTAAATTTATAATAATTGTGTTAAATTTATAAATTATTATATATATATACATAATATATAATTTTACTTTAAATATTATATTTATATTATATATTTATATTTAAAAAATATTATTATATTTATATTATATTTATATTATAAAAATACATAATATAAATATTTTATATTTATATATTAATTTTATTTTAAATATTATATATTATAAATAATTTTAAATTTATAAATTAAATATTATAATATATATATATATATATATAATTATTATATAAATTAAATTTTTAATAAATTTATTATCAATTAATTAATAAATATA